GGTCCGGCCGCTGTTGCCCTGACCTGGCCTGCCTTCCCAGAGCGTTGTACTCCCGAATCCTCACTGACCTAACCTGAAGTGACCTGCCCCCAGCGTGGTGCTCACATAGCCCGCCTGTGACCTGACCTGACTTGTTTCCCTCAGGGCGGCGCTCGTACGGTCCGCGTGTCACCTAATCTGAGCTTCTCCTCGCACAGGGCGGCGCTCGCCGAGCTCGCGTTTGGCCTGACCGGACCTGCCCTCTCCCCCAGAGCAGTGCTCGCCCGGCTCGAACTTGACCTGACCTGACCTGACCTGACCTGACCTGACCTGACCTGACCTGTTTCACTCAGAGCGCTGCTCGCCCGGACACCACTTCGACACGCGGCTGCAGATGTGCAAGCCGTGCGGCGTGGGGCGCTACCAGAGCCGAGCCGGCCAGTTCTCCTGCAACGCCTGTGAGCCGGGCCTGACCACACGCAGCGCCAAGAGCACCTCCTCCAAGGTGAGACCGGCGCCGCCGGGCCGGGCCCGTCCCGAGCACAAGACTTCGCGGCAGGGGGCAGTCTGAACTGGCCATTGCACCCACAGGGTGGGGTATTACGGTCAGAGTGGTGTATTATGACCACAGTGTGGGTTGTTGTGACAGCGTCGTGGGGTATTGCGACGACGTAGGGGGTGTTACTGCCGCTTAGTAGGTTATTCGTGCTGCCAAATAGGGTATCTGAACAAGATATGGCATAATTTCGACCGTCCATCAAAGCATTACGACCACAGAAAAACATGCTGACATGGCGATGCCGCTGGCAGATTAAGGAACTGCCTGGTAACGTTAGGCCCCCCAGTGTCGTGACTTCCCACATGAGCCATGACTCATGGCAGCAGCATTATCGCCCTGAGAAACAAACAAACAAAGGAGTCGCCCACCCCGCAGGACTGCACGGCGGCCTGCGAAAGCGGCCAACAGCTGGCCCTGGACAACACGTGCCAGCCGTGTCCACGTGGCACGTACCGCGCGGCCGACGCGCAGCAGACGTGCTCGCTGTGCCCCGAGGGCACCACGACCGCGACAACGGGCTCGACGATCTCCGATGACTGCTCGCTACCCGTCTGCCAGCCAGGTGCGTCGCCCCGCCAGCCACGAGACGACGAGATATTTAGGCTGACGTGGGGGTGATGTGGGGCCGTATCGGGTGTGCGCTTGTTTTCAGACAAACTTTGCGTTATACCGTGAGGAGGCAGGTGCCTTCATGCTGGGGCACGGACAGCAGCACCGTACAGTCTCGTGTTTGAGCGGAAAGGCCGACATCAGTTCACCTAACCGTGGCGCTGGGCATCCAGCGGTGAGTTCTATAACAAAAACCAATTGGACAGCGCTCGATATTCTTACGATCAAAACGCCAGAGGAGAAAACAATCCAAGCACGCCCGCCTTAAGCCTGATCGGGGTGGAATTTGTCGCGCCGAGTGGCGCGCGATCTCATCTCGTTGGTAACGCGCTGCACCCGTCCAGGCACGTTCCTCAACACAACGGAGGGGAACCGGTGCGAGAGCTGCCCACTGGCGACCTACCAGCCCGAGTCCCTGCAGACGGAGTGTCTCGACTGCCCCACGGACACCACCACCGAAAAGGTCAGATCGGTCGGGGTCAGGGCACCGTCACCGGCTGGAGGGCTCGGAATGCTTGGCGCGCCACCAACGGCACACGTCTGAGATCTGCTGGCATTGTGACGGACTGATGTAAAACTCGTGACTTGCCCCGGCCAGCTGTTGACTCAGACTCAGGCTACCCTTGAGGATTAGTGGCAACGAGTGTTCCTTGCCTGGCCGGGACACTCCCGTTGAAGGTCAACTAGCGCCAGCTGTAGCGACGTTCACGAATGATTCAGCCGTCCGGTTCGGAAGCTTCGCTATGTCGAATAGAATCGTTATCTTCAATAATCCAGGTACGTCAGTCGAAAAGAATCCACGCCAGGCTTCCAGCAAATGAGCAAAACGAGCCAGACTGCATGAAACCTGTGTGGCGTCATGTAAAATCTAGGTCATTCAGCTCAATAAAACTGGTCATCGGATGCACACGCATCTTTTGTCTCGGCCGCCCGCGTCATCACGCCCAATGCACCCGGCGTAACTCGGCGACCTCTGCGTGTGACCTCAAGCCGCTTCGATCGGCTGCCGAAAAAACAGCGGCAGGCAGACCTGACCCGGGCGTGCCCCCAGGTCGGCGCCAGCTCGGCCGAGCTGTGCATCAACCCGTGCGACGGCGCCGGCGAGGCGACGCAGTGCGACGCGCAGGCCATCTGTCTGATGGACGCCGTCACCAACGCGTTCCGCTGCGAGTGCAAGCTTGGCTTCAGCGGCGACGGCTTCAACTGCACGGACCGCTGCCATGGCTTCTGCGACAACGCGGGCACGTGCAGCAAGGACGAGCGTACCGGACTGCCATCCTGCGCGTGCACCGGCTCATTCACCGGTGAGCGCCACGGCGGCGACGGGGCCGGCCGCCATCGGGTCAGGTCAGCGTACAGGGGCAGCGCAGGACGCCGGGTCAGGCAAGAATGTCGGGTCAGCTCAGGACGTCGGGTTCGGTCAGGACGCCGGGTCAGGTCAGGACGTCGGGTCAGGTCAGAATGTCGGGCAGGTCAAATCAGGACAGCGAAGTGTTCCTTGTTCGGATTGTGATGGGTTAATGTAACATTTACATCCCGCGGTCATTTAGCTGCAGCGCTCCACGGCCCGGCGGCGTTGACCAGCCCTGGCCGGTGGTGCGCCGCGGATAAACCCACCCATCACATCGCCCGTCAGATAATCAGATCCTCGGCCGAGCCAGTCGTACTTTCGCAGACAGCACCTGATCGTGACTGTCCCTGCCTGGTTAAGACTGACCTCACTCGACCTTGGCTGACCCCAACTGACCTTGGGCGTGACAAAAACGGACACTGGTTGACCTCGCCTGACGTCACCAGGGGAGCGGTGTGCAGAGAAGTCCAAGTTCGCCTACATCGCCGGCGGCGTGGCCGGCTTCGTGCTGGTGGCCATCATCTGCGTGCTCTTCGTGTGGATGATCTGCGCTAGGGCCAACAAGAGGAAGAAGCAGCAGGAGCCGGGGCAGAAAGCCATGACGCTGCCGCCGGACGCTGCGTCGCAGGTATGTGTCCAGGGACGCCCCACCGGGGTTGGCACTCCGGCGCGCAAGCTCCGATGGTGCTCGGCATCGCTCGCTGCGACAACTCATTTGACAATCGGCGTGAAAGGCTGGGACGTTACGGCAGCGACGCGCGCCGATTACTCACTTAACGGAATGTTGTCCGACTCTCCCACAACTAAGCACTGTGTTGGTGAGACAATCCCCCAGCCGGGAACGTTCTAAATGATCTCTGAAATGGTATTTGGGCGTTAGCACCGGGCAACGCACCGCTTGTGAGCGCGCTGACACCGCCTGCACAACATCAGGTGAATTTCTACTACGGTGCGCCAACCCCGTACGCTGAGAGCATCGCGCCGTCGCACCACTCCAACTATGCGCACTACTACGACGAAGAGGACGAGGCCTGGGAGATGCCCAACTACTACAACGAGGCCTTCGTCCGAGGTGCGGGAGACAGCGGCACTGTGACGCGCTTGGTAGTTTATTGTCACGCCGACTGCGCGCATGTCTGTTCAGCCAGAGCCAAGCGTCTGACAGATCTCTGGGCACAGTATTATAAATTCATGACTGTCCGTCGCCACGAGGTGTTCGCTAAGCGGATTACATGACGTCATCGAGCGTCAGCAGGCACGCGATGAGACGTGCCGTGGCGTGCCGTGACCGCCGACGCCTGCGCGCAGACGGCCCGTCGCCGAGTAAGGGCGGCACGCTGCCGCCGGCCAGCGCCAGTCTGTACACGGGCCAGCCCAAGCCCGACGAGCTGTACGACCGGCTACGGAAGCACGCCTACACCGGCAACAGAGGTGAGCGTCCGGCCGCGGCCCGGGCGGTCGTGCTCGGGGGAAAGGGAGACGAGTCTCGCATCGCGCCGCGCTCTCTGCTCACGGGGAGTGCAGGCGCGCTAGGGGTGCCGACTTTCTGGGGACTTTGGTAGTGTGTAGCTTTTGGCGGCTATTAGTCATTGAAATCGTCGACAGCTATTGATTAATCGCGTCCGCCACTCGACCGGCGTACGCTGACAAGTGTAGGAAGTCTACAGGCTTCGTAGACAAAACCAAGATGATTTCAAGTGTTCTCCACGGAAGGAGGTCGCTCTTTTTTACGCTCCACCATGGTATAGAGCAGCAAACAACATATCGCTTCCATGGAAACAAATCGACTTTCTCGCAGCCCATGAGAACATCCGTGCCCAGACAAGTAACCTGCCCTGTTTCCAGACACGGAAGACATTCCCATCGGCCACGACGACCAAGCGTGCTAGATCGCCGTGTAGCCGTTCGGTGTCGAAACAGCGAGGCCCGGCCGGCCCCGTCAGCCCCGCGGGGCCAGCAAGGCCGTCTTTCAGCTGACCACGGGAGCCGGCGCGGCGGCGCGGCCCTCTCCTCGCGACGTTACGTCAGTCACGGCCGCTCCGATTCCGCGTCGGTCCAGACCTCTGCCAATGGGCGACCCGAGCGATGAGGTCACTTCAAACTGCAGACCTCCGCTACAGCTGCATTTTTGGCAGTTCGCCACGGGTCAACATTACCAGTCTGTGGATGCGTGTGCGAAGAACCGTTTGCTGAGGGATCAGCGCAGCAAGAGCATGCTGCACAGAGACAGAAGTGATATTGCGCGCGCGGAGTGGAGGTTCGTAAACTGAGTTTTCATTAAGTGTCATTAAGGGACAATACCAAGCCCCGCAGTCCCACGTCCAGAAAGCGTCTCAAAGTCAGCAAAATCATGAGCAGGCCTTTCGCTAAAACCGATATCCAAACATAAGTGAACAATATGCAGTGACGCGTACTGTTGGTGAGATGTGCAGCTCGTGAAGGACGCCGAATACACTGAGTAAGCGAAGCCCTGCGGTCGCACCGCAGACCAACTAGTTCGGCTGCCTCGAGAATCGTGTATTTGGCATGACGTCTCAGACTCGGCCAGACTCAAATAGGCCTTAAACCGGTCCGGAGAATCACAGGTGGGCGGCGACGGCCGGCCGCTTCAGGGGAAGTGCTTGGCGTCCTTCTGGTGCAGCTCGAGCAGGCGGTCCTCGATGGCTGGGTCCGGGAAGCGGTCCACGAACGACTGGATCAGGCCCTCGGGCGTCGACTCGTATTGGCGCAGCAGCACGTCGTCTCCTGGCGACGGGCCGCCGGTCAGGGTCGCTGACCCGCGCGGCCAGGGCAGGGCCGGGCGCCGAGGCAAACCACCACCTCCGGCGCAAAATCCGGAGCTCAGATGAATAAAAATTCAAAAATTCAAAACAAAGCATCACAACTGAATCAAGTTATCAATTTCAGTTCATCAAATCAAGTATTATAATTAACAATTAAAGCGACAGTAGTGACGTAATCTGATTTCATCTAGCTTCTCACAAGCAAACCCGTCGATGGTTGCCGCACGGCCAAACGCGACACTTCCAGTACCATTACCTTCCCCACTAAACTCGCCAGTCATCTACACTTCAGCAAACCCAGGCAGATCCTTTCGAAAAAGTTAACAACACACATGGTGAGCTGGTGCTCGATGTGACGGGCTCCAACACGGTAACTGATTCCTTTAAAACTCACCGGCCTGACCTACCTGATGAGCACAATCAATGACCGACGCGTGCCCTCCCCCATCGCTCCCATGACCGACTTCGGAACGCATCCCCACCGATCGCCCATCTAGAGCCCGCGAGCTCGAGCAGCGCTACGTCTGTGGTTGAACAGTAACTGCCTCCCCCCCCCCCCCCCCCAATTTAACACACACCAAGCGAACACAAGACAACGGGGCTCCACTAGGCACCCCCGCCCTCGCCCTCGGTCCGCCTGCGCCAGCCGCTCCCTCTCCCGTGCCGGCTGCACCCCGACCCTGGAGCCCCCCCCCCCCGCCGTCGGCTCACCCTTGAGCTCGGTGTGCGCTTGCACGAGGAAACGCCGCGGCTGCTTCTTCTCCAGAATGATCGGAATCCACTTGGCGAATGGGTGCAGTCCGCTGTCAGGCACTTCCGAGTAGTGGTCGAACATGGCGCGCGCCGCCGCCACGTCCGCCGTCGCTTTGTACACCTGCCGGCAGCAGCACACAGTCCAAACCCGGCGCCGGCTCCAACGGCGCGGGCTGGCGCCGACGCGCCACGGGAGAGGCCGTCCAGCGACGCCTATTGCGCGATGGGGGGGGGGGGGGGGGGGGCAGTGCCGGCAGGATGGCCAGGGGGAGACTTGCACGAAGAACGTAAGAGGATAATAAGAAATGTATAGGGAAGGGGTAAAGTCAAAGACACAGGAGGAAAATAAGGCGCCGAGGAAGAAAATGAGGGCGATAAAAGGAATAGCCGACAGGGGGCAGTTGTGATGAAAACCCTGGCAATGAAGTCCACGGTTTTCTAAGCCGCGGTGACGGTGTCTGTCCGCTGCTAGCCCTGCCACAGAATGCTGCCACCACGCCACGGACGCCACAGCGGGCTGCTGTTACGAGAGCGGCTCTCGTAGCAGCAGCCCGCTGTGGTCCGCAGCCAGCTCGGGTCCGTGTTCGGATGCGCCGTTGCCGCCGCGCCGCTCCGTGGCGGAGCGGCGGCGGCGGCGGCCTTCTGCCAAGTCGACTCACCTGCAGCCGGGTGAGGAAGTCGCCGATGGCCTTCTTGCCAGCGGTGTGGATCTTGTCGCGGCAGACTGTGAGCAGCAGATCCGGCCGGCCGTCGGCGTCCTGCCGCTCCTCGATGCTCACCACGCCGTCGCCGTGCTCCAGCAGCACACGCAGGATCACGTACCGCGCCCGGCTGTGCGCCTGTGAGGACGCGGGGGGGGGGGGAGGGGCGTGAGCGGCGGTCCCAGCTTGCTCCACATCGGAGGGGCGTCGGATCGGAGCAGCGGAGCCCTGCCCGTGCAGCAAGCCTGGCGATGGCGGTTCGCGTGGGAACCGGGGCGCTCATGGCGTCGGACGTCTCCCGGTGAACCGGGAGCTGATCGCTGCCGATAATACTGCAGCGGCCTGGAGCGCACTTCGAGCAGAAATCTGAAGGGGCGACTTAGCCATCCGTAGGGAATCGTCTCCACATGAGTTGGGCGAGACTTTTTCACCCATATCCGCAGCTCTGGGCGCTGCCGAATAACTGCGCAACACCTCCGCAAAGGACGTGTTGGGGCGGATCACCGTCAGCACATGTGCACTCAGTGCCCACATTCCTCTACAGATTACTCGCGCCGTACCACCACCGCCTGCACTCAGCGTAAACGAAGATTGTATAATCGGCACAGAGCCCGTCCGCTCCAGCGTGCAGACTACTGATCAGTATACATACTTTCACCAGCAAACTGTTTAAGCAGACTGGCAGCCAGCCACAAGACGCGACCGCCAGCGACGGGCTCGCCAGTTTTCTCCACATCAGCGGCAGATCAAAGGCCACCAGCCGACAGGGCAGGACGGGATGTTGGGTCACATCCCACAGCCCCGGCCTCGCACCGCACCCCGTCCAGGCCCAGGCTCAGAACTGAATGGCTCACGGCGTCCCGCGCCACACCTGCAGGCCGGCCGCACGCCGGCGAACACAGCACCCGCGCCGCGCGCCCCGTCCGACCCGCCGGCGCCGTCACCTGCATGAACTTGCGCGCCGCCGCGTCGTACTGCTCCAGACACTTGGCGAACCCGTCCCACAGGTTGTCCACCCAGTTGACGTATGTCACGAGCCGGCCCGTGTCGCCGCGACAGTCGAACAGCCTGCGGCGGGGCGGCGTTACGGCGGCGGCCCCGGCGGCGCCGCGTGACCTGACCTGACCCGACCGAGCCCGTTACCTGCATGAACTTTTTCGTCTCGGTCGAGTACATCTCGAGCGCCCTGGCCAGCCCGTTGTAGAGCAGGCTGAGCCAGTTGACGTAGACGAGCGTGGGGCGCAGTGTCTCGGCCACGGAGAAAATGCTGCCGGCCGGACGACACGGCGTCAGGTCACGGTCCGGTCAAGGTCAGGTCAGGTCACGGGCCGGTCACGCCGCGAAACAAATAAGCACGACGGCAGCCGGCGGCGACCACCGCTGTAACGAGTGATCACCTGGATTGGCGGCCAAATCGCGCACGTAAGCACCAATGATGCCCCGACGCGAGTCCTTTGTAAACATCTGGCGCGTATCTTTGCATACATGTGACATTATCATCACGAAACCGTGAAACATTCCTGAACAAAAAAATGTCCCTTGACGAGCTCCGGATGTCAGCGCACAGTTTTATGACCGCCATCACAGCCCGCAAAGGGCCGTTACGACTCGGAGAGCAACGCCACGACTCCCACAACAGCCTCGTCTCGACCCCACCTGCCCTAGGCACGACCCTCCACACGTCACCCGCCCCCTCCCTGCCCCGGTCCGAAGCCGCGGCCCAAGCGCGCCGACCACCTACTCCATGACTTCGTCGTCGAGCGACAGGTAGAGGCCGACACACTCGGCGCGGCACTCCTCGTACGCCGAGCCCAGGTCGGTGAACACGCCGTCGTACGTCTCGCCCGGCGTGTAGAAGCTGGTAATCTGCGGCAGGGCCACGAGGCGCGTCACAGTCGGGCGGGTCGGGCGCCCGCTGCCGCTCACGGCCACCGATCCCACCCGGCCAACGACGCACCGGCGGCGAACGTGACACAGCCCGAGCCGACGACCGACCACAGCGGAGTCGGCAACGGATTACGAGCACCGGTGTCGACACGCCAGCGGCACGTCGCCGCCAGCCGCGCCTCCGCGGTGACGTGCCCCGGTCACGGCGGCCCACCAGCGACACATCCCGGCCGCGTCTCACATGTGTCGACGGCGAGGATGGCGCGCGGCTCGCGTGGCGTGGCGGACCCCACCGCGGGCGGGGCGGCGCTGTCTGAGGGACAGCGGCCACAGCCCGGGCCGCGCGGGACCCCGCCCCCGCCCCCCGCTCACCGGCTCGCCCGTCTCCGCGTGCTTCACCGTCTTCTCGTCGAAGTTCAGCTTGCCGTCCTTGTCCTTGGCGAACAGCTTGCCGCTACCGTGGCCGAAGAGCTCGTGCAGCCCCACCTGGACCTGCAGATGAGCGTCCAGCCAGGCGCGTGACGCGAGGGAACCATCACGGGTTTGGCGCGTGGAGACGTGGGAGCGGCTTCAAACCATTCGTTACCACGCTCTACCTAGCGTTCATTCTAAGTTTGTTCAGGGTGGCGGGGCGGAAGACAGGGAAGGACAAGCTGGGTTCTAGCGCACATGAGACGTACCTCCGCCGCCACCACCACTTACGCAAAGGATCTCCGTAAACGTGGTACAATCAAAACATGATTTCGTCACAACATAAACACTTAGTACTTATACCAAACACATGGACACTCAAAACAAACACAAAAAACAAATCATCGGGGCGTAGCAAAAAGTATATAGCATGGAACAATGTGCCTCAGATACATAAAGTGAGCCTGTATGGTATGACAACCACACAGGCAAACCCAAACTCAGCCCACTAGTCCAACTAGCCCAGGGGCCTGTATCCGGGCAGTGACAAATGAGCAGACAGGCGCCCAAAGTTAAAGAGATGGGCATAGACAAAATACAACTTAACACAAAATATAACATTCAGGTATAGTCTTCAGGTAGTTCATAACACCTATCCACCGTCACCAAAGCGTAGCACCACGGCAAATCCGCGCAAACATCCCCACCAGCTTCATCCTGTTCATCCCAGCAGGTGACCACCACCGTACCCCAGTCCCAATGCGCGCGCAGGTCAGGACCGCGGCCCATACCTCGAACGCCTGCGTGCGGTACTGGCGCATCAGCTCCGCGTCCTCGGGCCCGAGGAACGGCAGCACCGAGGCCGTGTAGGCGGCCGTGATCACGTTCCCCAACGAGACGTTCTTGAAGCCCTCCTCCTGGCGGATCTCGTCGTAGTTGGGGATGTTGATGCCGGCGGGCACGCCGCTGCCGGCGAACGCCAGCACGTCCAGGCTGGTGAAGTCCGGCTTCAGGAAGCGGTCCTTCTCGTACGCCTGCGAGCGGGGGGAAGGAAAGGAGGGGGGGGGGGGGGGGGGGGGCTCAGTGTAAGAGGCGGCCGGCGGCCGGCTACTGACCCCCTCAGACGCAGCCACGGGCGCTCAGACGCTGCGCAGGTCGCTAGGCATAAAGCGAGTGCAGCACTTGCGGCAACCGGCACCAATATGTTTGATCAATATGTTGGAACGGCCACCCTCGCATGAGAATCCCACGGGCGCAGGTCCACTGATGTAGCATTCGGGCGGGACGCCACAAAGATCATTGCTCGAAAAAACGACTGGCTATGAATCTGGGCGGCCTTGGATATTGTAATCGAGAAAATTAACACTGTATTGCGACAAATCCATGGTACACAACACAGACGTATTCCAACAAACACAGATGTTTCGGGTGAACATTGGACTGGACACAACACAGGCCAAGATGGCCGCGCAGTGGTGATGACCCAAACTTTCTCCGTTTAGGTCACAGCATCCTATAGTCGAGATGTTTCGACACGGGACGACATTGGTGATCTCTCCGGTCGATCAGCGGCGCACCTATCGCCGAACACACTCGAGCCTCCGGACCGCACCCACGGGGCCAGGAGCACACGTACCTCAGGCCAGGGCAGCCGGGGCAGGATCTTCTCGGCGGCGGCCACCAGGCGACCGAACTTCTCGCTCATCGGGCCGTTCACCATGGCGGCGAAGCCCTCCCACTCGGCGCGCATGCCCGTCGGGTCGCGGTACGTCTCGATGAAGCCGATGTAGCTGCGGACGACGCGCGACCGTCAGCACGGCAGCGCGCTCACTGACGCGGCTGGCCCAGGAGGCCACCCAGTCGGGGAGGATGCGGAGCGTGGCGCATGGTCTACCCAAAAGAGCGATGTTTAACAAACCGGCACATGAGACCTGTGGCGAAACCAACGAAACGGACATGCACATGGCCAGGTTGAAGGCCCCACATGCCATTGCCACATTGCCGTAAAAACCGGCAAAAAGTTGCCGACCCCAGCCGCCTTGCGCCACGTTACAATGAACGCTGACCTTCACAAAGAATAACACCACTTAACGATAGAACTGACATCTTTACCATCTCTCACTATGTTGTCTTCCCATTATATATTTGTCAACATACGTCTCTCGTTATCTTTTTGCTGTCCTGTTTGCGGAAATAGTCGTGCGAGAGGTTCATACCACGAGAGTGGCCGCTGTCCCTTTCATCATTCCCACTGTGATTCATCTTACATACAAAGCTGCACAGCGAAGTACAGCTCGCTAAATTATCCTACAACAGCGACGAACAGTTCAGCATTTGGGTGTGCAGAGTCCGGCGGCGAGGATGGGTCCACCGAGTCCGGCGGCAAGGATGGGTCCACCGAGTCCGGCGGCAAGGATGGGTTCACCGAGTCCGGCGGCAAGGATGGGTCCACCGAGTCCGGCGGCAAGGATGGGTTCACCGAGTCCGGCGGCAAGGATGGGTCCACCGAGTCCGGCGGCAGGGATGGGTCCACCGAGTCCGGCGGCAAGGATGGGTTCACCGAGTCCGGCGGCAAGGATGGGTCCACCGAGTCCAGCGGCAAGGATGAGTAAACCGAGTCCGGCGGCAGGGATGGGTCCACCGAGTCCGGCGGTAAGGATGGGTCCACCGGGTCCGGCGGCAAGGACGGGTCCACCGAGTCCGGCGGCAAGGATGGGTCCACCGAGTCCGGCGGCAAGGATGGGTCCACCGAGTCCGGCGGCAAGGATGGGTCCACCGAGTCCGGCGGCAAGGATGGGTCCACCGAGTCCGGCGGCAAGGATGGGTCCACCGAGTCCGGCGGCAAGGATGGGTCCACCGAGTCCGGCGGCAAGGATGGGTCCACCGAGTCCGGCGGCAAGGATGGGTCCACCGAGTCCGGCGGCAGGGATGGGTCCACCGAGTCCGGCGGCAAAGATGGGTCCACCAAGTCCGGCGGCAAGGATGCCTCCACCGAGGCCGGCGCCGCCGCCGGGCTCTCCTCACGTCTCGACGGAGGGTCCCTTGTTCTTGATCCAGTGTCGGCTGCCGTCCTTGTGCGCCGCCAGCGCGCCCGTCTGGAAGCTGCGCACGTACTCGTCCAGCATGCCCTCCTCGTGCGCGTTGGCCGCGTGCTTCCTGCCAGCACACACACGCCGCAGCCGGCCCGGTCAGCGGCGGCGCGCGGCGGCCATCCCGCGCCGCGCCGCGCCTTCCGGAGCGCAGACGACAACAGCCGGCAGCACGACTGGCACTTGTTTTACAGCGAGCGGTCTGGTAGACGGAGCAGTACCGCCGGGGCGGACGGCGCGGATTTCAGGTGCGCGCGAAATGCAAAAAAAAAACCGGTCGCCATATGGAATGACACATTTCCAAGAGGAAGCCCGCATCATCTCTGAGCGCTGGCGACTCCCCGTGGCACTGTTCCGAGGGTGCAGCCCGCACCGAAGCGGCAGGGGTCAGACTGGGCTCATCCGGCGCCAGGTAGCCGCGCGAGCAGGGAGCAGGCGTCTCCCACCTGGCCTCCTTGAGCTCCTCCACCACCATGGCGAGCAGGCCGGAGTAGTCGCCACGTGCCACGCTGAACTGGGCGCCCTGGTACTCCTCCGGGCCGGAGGTCACCGCCGCGTCACCGTCCGACATCACCGAGGCCAGCCGGATCTGGCGGCGGGCACGCGCGCTGCGTCATGCCGGGCCGGCGTCGCGGCGACGGCGGCGAGGCACGCCCCACGCGCGGCACGGTTAGCTGCCGCCGCCGCCGCAGGACGACGCACCGGACGGGTGTAGAACAGCGCTGTCGCTCCCACAGGGCACACACAGACTAGTCCTCCCTCCCTGCCTCCCTCCCGAGGGACCTGCTCTCTCCCCCTCCCCCCCCCCCCCCCCCAGACAGCATGCAGTCTCTGGGGAAACCCACCTCGTAATGGGTGACGCCGTCCACTACCGTCTTGAAGAGGCGGTTGTTGTAAGGCTCAATACCCTTGTGCTTCATGTACTCTTTGGCCTTTTCGGCGTCCTCGTCTGTGCAGTTGGCAGAGAAGTACGTCGTGATGCCCTGCGTGGGACAAGATAACACCAATCAGCATCTGACACGCAGACACTGATCCAACTCTGACTCAACAAGCACATAATCACAAAACTTATGATGCTGTCAATAGCAGGTGGCCAAGCCAGTTGATATTCAGAACATAAGATCATTGTAGCTATTCTTTGTTGTTCATTGATGTTTTCGGGCGTGTCGACTGCAATGGCCATTTTGCGCCCAAACGATCCTTTTACTTGACTAGTATGGTGTGAAAATGAGTTGAAAATCAACATATTTTAAGAATGAAAAGAGTTGTTTGGAATCAAAAAAGAAGGAACTGTCCCCAAGCACATCGCTAATCGTCAGGGGCGAAGCGTGCGGACCGAAGTGACGTCGTCGTTCTTCGAGTAGCTATTCAAGTCGTACGAGCAGCACACGCGTCTACTGATGGCGCTTAGCGGCACGAGCAGCGTCCAGCGGAGTGAGATCACGTCAAAGCAAACGAAGTCGTTAAAACCGGAAAACCAGCACGTCCGAGAGCTCCCGAGACCTAGATCTAGTCACAGAGCAGCCTCCTGCCGGGTGGTCCCCTTTCCCGGGTGCGGCCCGGCAGCGGGGGTTCGTGCCGCGGCTTTCTCGCGGGACAGACCCCCGCTGCTCACCGGCGTCGCCCTCACCTTGTCGCCGAGTCCCAGCTGCGCTACGTTGTCGTTGAGCACGTACAGTCGCGCCAGACAGCCATCCAACAGGCGCTCCAAGGTCTTGCTGTCCTGCTCGTAGGCTCGCGAGGCGCGTATCAGCGCCGCCAGCTTCTCCTGTGCCAGGCCCGGCACCTTCTTGGTGTCGCCGAAGTCGCGGTAGTTCCCCATGTCCGAGTAGATGGAGCTACTGTACACCAAGAACGCCTGCGCGCGCCCATCCGCCCAGTTAGAGCATATTCATCAAACCATATGCCCAACATGGTGGCTCAATATTAAACTCTGCCTTAGTGAGACTGAGGCAGGACACGGCCGTCGAAATGTGGCTCCAGTGTACATGATCACGCATCATAACAGCGCGGGTCATGGGCAGCTCATACGTGCCAGAATCAGCTTCAAGTGAGACAAGATGTGCAGATGAGTGTGCATGGCATCCCTTCCCAATCTTAGCACAACTTCGGCACCAGCTAAGTGTTTTGTTCTTTCAGACACATCTGCATACCTTCCAGTCTTGCTTTCTTTCAGACAAATCTGCATACCTTCCAGTCATCTTCTGAGAAGTTGCACTTGTCAAATGCTACTTGCTTCAGCTCTTCACAGCTCTGTTGGCGGAAAACACGATGCAGCAGAACAAAGATGAGAGGTGACTCAGGCGATGTCTGAAAAGTGATGCGAATGTCAGTCACTGGAGGTACTGGATCCAACAGGCATTTCTCAGACAAGATAGAGCCTAGTTTTTTATAGGGTACAGAAGCAGAAATACTTGACAATCTGCTTATTCCATACCCAGGCTTCCCTTTGTTATCGGCCAAACCCTGTGGATGCTGCAGTTCAATGCACTCTAGGTGGTGTCTAGGCCCTGACCACAGAGCCAGGATCTGGCCAGATATACCATACACAGGTTTGAAGGTTCTCACCACCTGGAAGTAAATCAGTGCTACATCTCACTCTAGTGATGAGGTGTAGCTAGGTGAGAACACTTAACAGATCACAGCTGTATCACGAAAGCTTTTGTTTGGAGGAAATGCTTACCTGCAGCAGAACAATGAGTCCACCCTTCCAGGAGGCCTGTGCAATGTGGTGGGCATACAGCTGCTCTTTCTTGGAAAGACCTTTAAATGCCACTTCACACTCCAGCCTGGAGAATGGCTGGTTGTTGGGGAGAATGTACTTGGAAGCCATGTTGTCAGTGGAACAGGCCCTTGCAAATCTGAGGGCAGATATAAATGCTCAATTCTGAATCTCTCATCTCAAGGAATGTTTGCAGCATTCCCTGCCTCAATGGACTAGTGTGGAGCAAATGTGCAAGGGATATAGCCCAGTCACATTCTTCAGCAGCCCAAGTGGGTGGGATAACCTGGCTGGCACCATCAACTGATTTAAGTTTGCACCTCAAACCTGGAGAGAAAAAAAGTTGACAGAAACAATCTAAGGCCCCAACCTCTAAGCCTTGACATTGGCTAATTACCAAGTTTGCCAAGATGTAAAGCAGCTGTCATGCATGTAGTACATAAACAACATGAAAATGGATGACACCCAATACTTCAAAATACAATTTGGTCTAGCAACATATAATCACTTAGCCAAAATTTCATTTTGAGCCTGCCCAATTTAAACAGTGAGGGGTGTTGGCCATACACCACAGGTGATAACTATGGGGAATAATCATGAGTTGAATTCAAATGGGAGCCATATATTTTATCACACTGGACCCTGAAATTCAGATGTAATGTCTACTTGACAGTTGGTGAGCAACAATGCCTTGGAAAATTAGACTACCTTGTTATTATGACTGGTGATGACATATTTTTATGCACATCATTCACACATGAAAATTGGTATCAGACATTGGCCCCCTGATAAAAAAATGGGTTATGAGCTTAGTGCATATCCCTTTAATCAGAATTGACATGGGCTAAAAAATGTGAGGCTTAGCAATGCATTTCTTTTAAAATATTTAATGTCATGGGTGAACCACAGGCTATATTTTGGAGAACTGGAAGGAATGACTCCTTCCCCTGTGACAGATCCCACACCTGTTTTACAGATACAATGGATGTAGCAGGGACACCGAATCTCTAGTAGCCAAAGTTCTCCTGCAATGAATAACAAAAACACTATGAAGTTTGAGCCTATGCCACAGGGTGAGCCATTGCTTTTCCTGGATATGATAGCTGCAAGCCTTCAAAGCTAACTCGCAAGAGCAAAATATCCAAACCATATGACTGAGACATAAATAGCGATCAAGCCGCAAAGCTCCCCATGCGTAAATGATCAAATGTGCTGCGACCAACACAGACGGTACCAGCACAGCACGTTGAAACGGCATATTTGGCGCACACACCCACATGTCAACTTCAACATCCCAGAATATTGCGCGACATCCCAACTCATCAGATACCATACATCCCACCAAAACAACACTGCGTAACAGCCACGACCTCCAACGTGGCGTACTTTTTCCTTAGACGCGGTCCGCCCTCGGCACCGACCCGGCGAACAACGCGGCGCAGGACGTTGCAAGTAAACATTTTTCATTTGCCTGCAGCTTTCTTATCTCGGTCCTCCCATTTCCGAGAAGAGTCGTGCACGTTCGCTTCTGACCTTTACAATCTTATGTAACGGGCGTGTTATCCTCTTGTCAATATCCATTTCAGCAGTCATTGAATAAGTACAAAATCACTTTGGTTTTGTTGACATACATCATTTGTTACGGCTATGCCGCGCTTTCACGGCCACGGCCATGGCCACTTGCCAGCACAGAGGCGCTGTTGCCACGCCAAGCCTGTTTATGACCTCTGCGTCGCCTGTTTGGAGTTATCAGAGAGCCTGCTGGATCGCGGAGTATGTTGACCTTGTGCACATTCTAGGCCGAACACCTTATGCCGCAGCTTAGGGCGGCTCTTGAAGGTGGCCCCCCCCCCCCGCCCCACCCGAGTCCTGTGCGTCTGCGTACATTCTCGATTCATTCAGTTCAGAAATGTCACTCTCAGCATTCGTCGCCTGTGAGGCCACATGTGGCTAAATGACACTCTTTACATGACCCCCCCCCCCCCCCCCCCCCCCCAGGGTTTGAAATCCATCAATCACAAGGTTGTAAGAACATGTGTATTTACAGCATACCCACATTAAATACCACCTGCTATTCATATATCTATAAACAGTTTCACATATACAGTAACAAGACTGCGATCAAGACCAAAGTGAAGCACTCACACTATGCCACATCCGTTGCGAATGAAGTCGAATAAAACCGCGCCCCGTCTTGTCACGCGACATTCATCACACAATCGAGCCCCACGGACCACAACCAGCCCACAGTCGCATCGCTCCATCCGACAGTTGAAACCTCCACAGATCAGCCAGACGGCAAACGCACGCCACCATCCGGCTCCACGGCCGCGGCCCAACAGGTCACGCAGGCCGCTGCCGCCAGGCGATGGACGCCTGGGCGGCGTCACCGGACCACAGCCAGCTTCGGCCCGAGCTCAGGACCGTGGCCACCCCCGCCAGCGGCGGCCCGGCTGGAATGGACCGTCAGACGGCGCCGCCCCTCCCCCTCCCTCCCCACACCGCCCGGGACGGCCGTGTCACCCGTGCCGCGCGCCGGCAGCCTCCGCCGCCGCCCGGCTATCACTGTTTGCCGACGAACTGGCTCAGCGTGCCCTGGCCCTGCTGCAGCTGGCGCATCATGTTCTGGATGCCGTTCATGCCGCCCATCTGCTGCAGCACGCGCGGGTCCATCATGCGCGCCATCTGCTGGTTCAGCTTCGCCATCTGGTTCTGGTTGACGTTGCGCGACATGTCGCCACCTGGAGCGAGGGAGGGGGAGGGGGAGGGGTCAGGGGAGGTGCCGACGGGACCGTAGGAACATGGACGGAGGCACAACGGCTTGAGGCTCGCCTCAGTAGACGGCCGGTGCACGAGTGCCAGCGCGCCATCAGTAAATGACTTCAGGTGGCGAAACGAGAGTTGTTGCTAATTCAAACCACATTCCCCGTTTTTCATCTGCTTGTGTACGTTTCCTTCCGCATTTCAATGATGATGAAGGCCGCTTAAGGTAGATTACCTCATCTGTGATAACCCAATCATTTAACTGTTCGTCCAACCCAAACGCTTTCCTCAAAGGTGAGGTGCCAAGGGCAAACACCACGGAGCATACATCACGTACATAAACAAGACCCTTAATAATTAGTGTACGGTTTGACGCTTCAAACCGCTCTTCACAGAATCACCAAAAACAAAGCACACAAAAAATCCCGCGGATCGCCCCCTCCCCCTCCCCCCTGTACACACACACTGCGCCGCCCCAAGGGTCGGCATGGAGGGCTGCAGGCGGCAGCCCGGCTCACCTTTGAACAGACCCTTGATGCCGCCCATCTTCTTGACCACCTGGGCAAATTTGGTGTGTTGATTGAGCAGGTCACGCACCTCGCGCTCGGTCACGCCAGCGCCGTTGGCGACGCGTGTGATCCGACTCGGCTGCTTGGTGAACAGCTTGGCGCCCAGCTGGCTGTCCAGCTCTGTGGCCGGCGGACGGGCAGGGTCACAGAGACGACACGGCCGCGGCTGCCAGTCGCCGGCAGGCGGGCGAGCGGGGTCACAAAGACGACACGGCCGCGGCCGCCAGCGGCCGACGGGAGGGTAGGGTCACACAGACGACACGGCCGCGGCAGCCAGCCGACGGCCGGTCGGCGGGCGGGGTCACACAGACGACACGGCCGCGGCCGCCAGCCGCCGGCGACACTCACTAGGTCACAACGCAGCACACAGCTGACTGACACACCGACGCAGCAGGGCCATAGTATTTACCGGGGGCAAACGTTCATGGCTGAGAGCGCTGATCTCCGTACCGATAACCATGACACAGTTAAACCAATTCCCAGGATCTTCGCGATCGTTTTAACTCCTGCATCACGGCGAGCGATCATGACCGTCATGGCCGCGACCAATTGATCGACGCAGCATGGTGGAAGGCCCCGGTCCGCTGCGGTGACCCGGCTCGCGGTCCGGGCTGGCCCAGACCACCAGGGCCGGTGAGGGAGCGGCCCGGACCGCCGACTCACCGCCGTCACTCATGCTGTCCATGAGCGTCATGAGTCGCTTCAGGCGGGCCGTCGACTCCTGCTCGCCGCCCTTCGACAGGAAGTCCTGGCCGAAGCCCGGGATCATGCCCTGTCCAACGGCAGCCGGCGTTGTGTAATGCAGCAGCGGCAAGCGGCCTCGACGGGCCATGAGAACAAAACCGCCATTGACGATCCATTATTAGCGGTGGATGTTGGACCTTGCCGGACGCGACTATCGCCAGCCAAGTTACGTGGACAACGTAGCAAAAACAGCGGGGCGCCCACAGGTACCTAACGCGCCTTGTAAGCAGCTATTCTGATGTGTAAATATGGCGCTAACGTGACAACGTACTTGAAGTCGCACCGTCTGTCTCATTATTCACATTATTATAGGCTGCTGTAACTTCTTGATGCATAACATATGTGTCTCATAGCGTGCCTTACAGTACGTGTTATATAAACTGGCATTGAAGCAGTGCTCTATTAGACTTGTTCTTTGTATGACACGGGCCACAAAACGTGCGACAGATATCCCGCTGGACAACAGCTACGATGGTTGAGGACCAAAATCACGGTTACTTTAAGTCGATACCAACAGCAAGGATAGACGCCAGCGACAAATGGTGCTGCTCTCGCCCTACACTCAGTTCCTGTCGTCCGTACGGCGTGATCCCCGATCCACGTACCATGATCTGCGAGAAGGGCCCCATCTTCATGATGTTCTGGAACTGCTCGTACATGTCACGGAGCGTGAACTCGCCGTGCTTCAGCTTCTTGATGAGCTCCTCGTTGTCCTCGAGGCCGAGGTCCTGCACGGTCTCGATCAGGCCCTCGATGTCGCCCATGCCCAGCAGCTTGGAGACGAACGGCTTGACGCGGAACGGTTCAAAGTCGTCGATGTGCTCACCCGTGCCGATGAAGATGATGGGCGACGACGTGGCCGCCACGCTGCCGGCGCCCGCACGGTGGTTGGTGACTGATGGGTTCTGGGCGCGCTAACTACCGCGCTCGTTTTACGCCCACAACAGTGGTAGTGAACCAACGACGTGTACATCGATGCCAGCGTACGTATAGGACTGCAAATTGTGCACATGCCACACTTAATTAATTAATGAGTTATGTTTAAGCACAATCGTGCTTACCATCAAATGCAACCGTGATAAAATGAACGCATCACCCCACCTTACGATCGAACAACCCGGATGCGACTGTTCATAGCAAACAACAAAGCGGAAGCAGACGCCCATGCAAGCCCGAGGAGCCAGCGTCTACTTACGCCGACAGGGCGCCACCGCCCTTGGCGTGGCCGTCCAGCTTGGTGACGATGACCGATCCGACGTCCACCTTTTCCTTGAAGGCGCGCGCCTGCGGCTCGCAGGCCTGGCCGATGGCCGCGTCCATGACGAACACCACATTGTCGGGACTCTGGCGGCGGCGGGAGGCACGGTCATGACGGCCAGCTGTCGAGGTGAGCGGCACGGCGAGCGGCGGGCGGCACGGTCACGACGGCCAGCTGTCGAGGTGAGCGGCACGGCGTGCGGCGGGCGGCACGGTCACGACGGCCAGCTGTCGAGGCAAGCGGCACGGCGAGCGGCGGGCGGCACGGTCACGACGGCCAGCTGTCGAGGCAAGCGGCACGGCGAGCGGCGGGCGGCACGGTCACGACGGCCAGCTGTCGAGGCGAGCATCACGGCGAGCGGCGGTCGGGCGCTGCGCCCTCTCGATTGTTGCAAGCCGCATGGGACGGAGGTGGCCGTTCGCGGCGCAACCTCAACCGCCGATGACACGGGGCACAACGAAATCAGAGGACGGACGTCAAGTCTAGCGGCCACGCGGCGCCGGACGGACGCCTCACGAGCCTGTTGTTCACGGCTTGGCCGGGAGCGCCGTACCACCACATGTGCCGGCGCACTCACCACGGCGTTGGAGACCTGCAGCATCTCCTCGAACAGCGAGTCCTCCTGCTTGTGCCGGCCGGACGTGTCGACGATGATGATCTCGAAGTTGTCCGCCTTGAACTTGTCCACGCCGTACTGGGCGATCACCACCGGGTCCACCTCCGTGTAGCTGGCGGAACGGGCGGCGTCACGAGGCGACGGGACGATGCCGGTCGCGCCCGGCTCGCTACAGCCTGTGGCCATCACACGGCCCGGCACGCCACGATACAGCGCACGGTTATGAAAACAGCTCAACCACGGTTAGAGAGCACGGCACTCGCTCGGCAGGCGGTCGCATTTATGCCGCTCTGCAGAGCAATGGCCACAACAGTTACCGTGAAAGCCAACATCACGACCACCGTGACACTGATAACCGACCACCGACGGTCCTCTCCTGTACCCACAAGCGGTGCCCCTCCCACCCCTGCTCGCAGCGCCGCAGGCACCGCCCGTGCCCCACCGCGGCCGGCTGCCTATCGTCCCACCTGCCGTAGAAGGGGATGCGCGCCTTGGTGGCGTTCTGCTTCAGCTGATCGTAGGCGCCGGCTCGGAACGTATCAGCGCACACGAGGCATGTGCGCCAGCCTTTCTTCATGTAGTGGTAGGCCATCTTGGTGCAGGTGGTCGTCTTTCCGGAGCCTTGCAGGCCAACGAACATGATGACGTTCTGCTTGCCCTTGGCAGGCTGGTAAGGCTTCACGCCCGGGTCCACCAGCTGGCGGCACGGCCGGCCGTCAGTGTTGCGCGCCACGACGGTGGGGAGCACGAGAGACAGCTCGGAAGGTGCAGGCTCGTACTACAGACAGCCAGGGGTTCCGCTGGTGCGGGATCGGAGCGAGGTTCACAGGTGAGAACCATAATTCAAACGTCATATTCAAGACGTCATCCAGATATGGAAACAACACGCAATCAAAATGAACACAGGAGATGGCATGGCTGGTTTGCTCGCATGACAGTCGATGCAGCTGGCTTTGCATGAAAACGATGCCACGGACAACAGCTGATAGGACAGCGACTTCGTGCAGACCTTGATAAGCTCCTTGAACACAGCTGTCTGGATCATGCGCCGCTTGTTCAGTCCGGAGCCCATATCGTCGAAGTCGATGACGGACCTCACGTTCTCCCGCAGCTTCTTCACCAGGCGGATGTTGACATCACTCTCCAGGAGAGCCATGCACACATCCTTCAGCATAGAGTTCAGCACCTGCAGCGGCGGCGACCATTCGGATCAGCTCCAGCTTGTTGGATCTGTCACCTATTAGCTTGGTCTACCAGCGCGCACACATTTTGTGCCATATCTGTACACCCAAGACACGGACGCACTCGGGGGAAGCATGCAATGATGGGGAATCGGAAGGACAATCACGTGGTATGTACTGTAGCGTCACGTGTGCGCGAGCCAGGAAAACTGATTTGTCCACTACCAACTGTTTTCACTGTTTGATACAATACAATACCGTTTAAAACAGTGGCAGTGTGTGCTGTCATCATTTAAAGGGAGACAGTTGATAGACGGGGCAAAAATCACCGGCCACGTCTCATGATCAATCACCGGTCCCATGGGATAGGTTTGCATGTGTTGAAGAGAACGCAGGTGAAATGCGCTCTCTCCCGCAAGCAGCCGCCAGAGGTTGACAGCACCGCGCGGCCTGCGACCGAGTCTTTCATGTTTTGCGCAATATCTCGGCAACCAGGGAACCTAGACCCCTGATTTAAACTGCTTAAGATAGATAATTCAAAATCTACATTCTAACACTAAGCGCATCAAAACAAGCATGTAAACACTTGACATGAATACCAATGGGACAAGAACAATGCAGCTTACTTCAGAGAAAACAGCTAGGCAGGAAGTGATTGGCTTGAGACCTGCTATAAAAAGAAGGGATAAAAATACATGTCTAGTTTTTGGAAGTGATGTGTTTGTATCTTAGATCATGAAAACGCAGGTCACCTGACAGCAAAATCCTATTAAAATGTTCTGCCTAAAAAAATGCCAGCCAGTGTCCAAGCAATGCTTTCAGAGATATCTTGTGGCACAAGAATGTGTCACGTGTTTCACATCCTAGAAACAAATAAACAATTTACCTGTGCAGATACAAAACCTAATAATTCATGTTTTTTCTGAATACTTATCATCCCCACAGCTAGTAAGGTTTGCAGGAGCATCTGTGATTTAATCTTCACTTTGGCACAATTGAGTCATGATTTACTGTTTGCTAAAGGTATTTTACAGTGATTATTCAACAAAGAAAGCTATCCAATTCATTAATCCAGAATATTGGAAATTTACTGTTTCTAAAGCATGTGCCTCAGCTAGCAAAGGTTCAGAAGCATGTGGGATCTCATTTGGTTATTGAACAGGCTGTAAATACATGGACAATGCTAGAGTGGATTAAGCTTGTTTACTGGTGCATAGTTTGGGTTGGTTCATGTTCAGGTGTTATGAGTTGATGTCAATTAGTTTGTCCTCAGTAGTGACATATAGTTTGTCCCTAATGTGACATATAGTTTGGTCAATGAGCCATAATCATCAACGCATGACTGTGCTCTTGCAACTATGCATACATGTCTATGCATTCTCTCAACTGAGGCCCTCATCTTTGAACTGTGCCACAAACCCTGTATGCCAGAAAGAGTTATGATAATAATTGTGGAATGCAACACTGCAAATATTGTCTTCTCCATTTGGGCAGGCTTTCTTCAGAGCAAACATACTTCTGCAAAATTCTGACTCAAGCCCAGTCTCTTACAATGGCAAATATGAAATGCCTTGTCATATTTACATCATAAATGCCTTTTGGCACCAAACAATACATGGTGATAGGGCTTTGAGCATGCCAATGCTGAAGAGGAAGGGCAAAAGTGGCAATATTTCAGCTGCTCAGGATTTTGTTTGGGGCTTCAGAAGCAGCTTTGAGCAATCCTCTTCTGCAGCTCCAGGCAAACTCAAGCTGGAATACACCCCAAGCAAGACAATCCCTGTCACAAACATATCAACTGACCTACTTATTCTGTCCCTTCAGTATGCCCCATCATGTGATGGATTCAGAAAGCCCGCTCCCAGACCTTCAAGGTGAATGACCAGAATCACCTAGAAACAGCTCAACCTTTGGGTAACATTCTTGAAAGTGTGTACCAAGGTGTGCCACGGAAAGGTATGTCGAGGAAAAGAACAATACATGAGAGTTGAGCCTGTGACAGCCACTAGACACTGTCTTCAAGATACTAACAAAAAAATTCAACCCAGCATCCCATTGGCATCCATGTTCCATGCCATATATAGGTGCCATATAGTGAGCTTTTATTTAGCTGCCATGTTCTCATTTTGCTTTACATTCCCCACCCAATCCCCCTGCAACCCATCATCCTGTTGGCATCAAGGATCAAATTTCATGGATTCTTGTTACCTTGGCCCCATACATTTTCATGGTTCTTGATGCTGCTTGATGCTCAGTAATGTTGTGACCGTGCGCAGTAACGGCACCGGTGTCGCGGGTGTTGTGTGTGTGTGTGGCGCTCGGGAGCTCGCTATCATAATTATAAAAAATTTGAAGGTAAGAGCATGAATCTACCTGTTTTGTGATTATTTATGACATGTCCTGCCTTAAACACGACACATGGTGTACAATGATTTTTTCTAATGTTAGGTAGGAAAGTACACCCTGACTGAAAAATGTGCAACAAACAACATGCAATAACGTGACAATGGAGGAAAACACTGTTGAATTATCAACCCCAGCATCCTGCCAGTTGCCTGGCGGTGAAATATCATTCAATCCTTATTTCTTTAATCATCACAGCCCTTACCTCTTCATTGATGACAGTTGCATTCCCGAGGGAACGCAAGGCCGTCGTGATTTTTCTTCCCAAATCTGCTAACACCATCTTAACTGATTGAAGCGTACTATGCAGGTATCACAAAGTAAACTGAGGCCCGGCTTCACCAAACGCAACCTGAAGAAGGCGGCTCGTTGGTCCGAGCACAATTTGCAAAATCCCTGACTATGCACGGAGCAAGAAAGTAATAACCAACCCCTCAAACCGCTCGCCGCATCCCCAACATACACCACACAGTTCACACAACAGCTGCGTGGAGTTCTGCGTCGGAACAGGCAACTCGTCAACAAATGGAAAATGGTAGGTATAGCCAGTCCCAACTCAGCCATCTGTTCTCCTAGTTTTATAGCCCAGATGACGTCACTGTTAGACGCTCTGATGCAATTTGTACTAGACATTTTCTGCACTTTTCCTTTGGACACGTGTAAATCGACTCATGAGTATATCTACACAGAACAGCACCTCTGCTTAAATCCACTACGAAGCGGATTTGCACAGAACGCCACCCCTGTGTAAATCGACTCAGATCTGAGTTGGTCTACACATAGCGCACTGTTGTGTAAATCCATTTGTGAGTAGATCTATACAAGTGTGGCTTCAGGAGTAAATCGACTCAGATCTGAGTGGATTTACACAGGAGCGTCATTATCTGTATATACACTGCGGAGTGGATTTAGGCAGAGAAGGTGTACTGTGTAGATTCAATCATGCCATGATATACACAGAGGCGTCATTCTGTGTAATTCCACTCGCGAGTGGATTTAAGGAGAGAAGGCGTTCTGTGTAGATGCATTCATGATGAATACAAACACCTGTGAATCACATCGTGATGTGATTTGCACAGGAGACAGAGCGTATTCAACGCGAACTGGCGAACTGATCTATGACTTGCCGAATAAGGGAAAGGTGTGATTTCAGTAATGAAACAAACGCACATAAGCTGAAAATATGCACTTGCCCATGCATAGTTCATTTTTGCATCACTGAAGTTGCATATCTGCGTACTTTATTGAGAACATACTGTCCAGAGATACGAATATATATATATATATATATATATATATATATATATATATATATATATATATATATATATATTGTATATAGCATGCGTGCGTTTGTGCGTGTACGTGTGTGTGTACCAGGAAAGATGGATGCCGAACTTGTCATATTGCTTACAAGGCACACCATGAAACATCGCATGCTTGTCACACGGTGGTTTGCGGTGTGCGACTTTTATCCAGTCTAGGTAACGGGTGAGCGGTGCGGAGGGCTACCAAAAGGGCTCCTTGATGGTAAAACGCCCCCCCCCCCCCCTCTTATACACACAGATTCGTTAGCTTTGCCCGTTGGATTTCCACCGGCATGATTTTGTGCGTGTTTTATGCATTTCTGACTTTCTTCACTGGTGCGAGAAGCCAGGAAAGGTACTAGAAAGCAATCTGCTGTCTTTATTTTCCTTCAGGCAATAATTCACAGAAGGGTGGTGATGCTAGATGACATACAAAATAACGCACCGGTGATATTCCTTTTGAATTGTTAGGCTGGTTCTATCCACAGGGATAGACCTCAGAGCTTTGCCAAGTTTTTGTTTTGAGCTCTGCAGAGATATTCATCACCCCGTGCGCGTTGAGTGTAGGTGGAAATAGGGTCAGTAATTTGTTCACCTTGGCCAACCCATGTTCGTCTGGGGATGTTAAACGTTCTGCCAGAATCTATTGGTGATGCAACTTATGTAATAGTGTTAAGGATATGCACTTCAAGTCTTAGAAGCCTAATCCAATGCTGTGATTACATCTCCTCATGCAGTAATGCATCCTCACCCAGAGTTTTTATGCGGCAATTGCATCCTCGATTTCAGAGGTCAACTTAGGTCACTCCCGGTGAACCTAGGGTCTTGTAATTAGCATCTGTAATAGCACCCAGCATTTAAAAGGCAATGGTAAGAAATGCCCGACCCTAGCCCTTATATTGTCGAGTGAGACTATTTGAAGTAAACTTTGGAAACACAGATTTAATTTAAGTAGCGTTCAACTGGGCTGGAAAATCGCAATGATTGAATGTTGAATAACACGGTAGGTAAAATGGAGAAATGCATGGAAGAATTCGTTAAGTCCTCACTAAAAAATATATATGGAACCGAAATCGGCAAACCCAAACTTGGGTTGTACCTACGTTCATGCCTATGCAACCTACATTCTGAATACATTTCGGTACCTTAACTGAACCTAGTACTGTGAAGTAGCCCAACTGAATCTACCCAACTGATCCACACGCGGTACCAATATGGGTGTGTTAGACATCCAGACAAGTCTTTCGTCTGAAATTTGAAGTCGATCAACTTGGGGCTAACTTAAAACCAAACACTTCACTTTTGCGTAATGCTATGGGAAACGCTTTTAGGTTTAGGACACTTGCAGGCGTGTGTGCCGAAAGAACCTCACGGTTAAAGACAGACATTGGCGGTACCTAATGAGGGTACCGCCAATAATGAAACGCGATAAATATTCTCTTCGCTCTTCTATTGTCTACCTTCGGCTCTTCACAAATATACCTTCCGTGAAATCGTTGGTATTTTCGCACGCACATCAACTTTGCCTGTTTTGTCAAAGACGCACGAAAAAGTTGTGTGCATGCGGCTGTCGTCCAACCTCGGTACCCATGATCTTTCAGCTACATTACAGTACGCGTGCAGATCTTGTCACTCAACCGAAAACGCCCTGGACGATGCCGTTGAGTGAGCTGTACTCGGATTGGGGTTAAGCACGTCGTGGCCGTCACTTTCGTAAACTTCAGCCGTGCCTTTAATTGTATCGACCATGACGTCGTTCTGATAAAGCTGCAGTGGTGTTGTATTGATCCGAATTGGTTTGGGAGCTACCTTGGTGGTCGAAGGTAGATGGTCAGAAGCGGAATCTTTCTCTTCTGTCAATTCACGGTGTCTCTCAGTGATCCTTCGTTGACCCTATCCTCTTCAGTATTTTTACGAATGAATCTCTATATTACCTCCTTCACGAATATATAGTATCCTGTGCCTACCACACCCAACTGCCAGACTCTACTTGCCCAGACCAACCAAACGTTTTGAAAAATTCAAGTGATTAAGTCCTACTTCACATCTAACTCCCTCAAAATGAAGCCGACCAAAAGAGCTCTTCTTCCCGACACTCCACAATCCTGAAAGGAAACCTCATATTTCCACGTGGACAGTGCGGGACACCAATAAAGCCTTTCGTCGCCGGTGAAGGGCCCATTGCAGGTACGTTTTCTTGGGAGATGCTCATATCCTAGGCTAAAATGCGCAGCCCCATCCTTTTCCGCTTGCATAAAATCCGCCACAACCAACAATATTGACTGTTTATGACGAATCATAATGAACAAATTCCACCACAATCAAACCGCAATCAACGAATTCATCGCCCGAGGTTTGCAAATCTATCATCCAGTCCCATGCTCTCATCTTCTGTGCTGCCTCTCGGTCTGGGGTGTGGCTGCAGCGCGTCACCTAAATAGAGTGCAAGGGGTGATTAACCGTGGGGCCAGGATCGTCACCGAGGCTCTTCAGCAAGATCCAATGTCGGCGACTGTTCAAGCGCTGGGCTGGCGCGGTGACCTAGTCATCCCCCGTGGCAGCCTCGCTGTGTTCAGGGCCCTGAATGACTCGTGGGCTCTTTTGGAGGTTCGGTCCCTGTTCACCACACGTACAGCTTTACGCCAGCGTGTCACCCGCGCGGCAGCGATGGGCGCCCCGGGTCTGCCAGCCCTCACCTATCGACAGCACGCAGGTCTTTCCGTATTTACGCGGTCTCATCCCGCTGCCGCCGACCACCACAGCATCTTGCACCTACGATGTGCTCTGCGCCAGTCTGGGCGATGTAGACTGCCCTGTTGTGTAATTATTGCTTTTTTGCCGCTTCGTAGCGTATTCTGACGGCTTATTTTTGATAACTTATCGTTGGCCAAGTTGTGAGAACGAAGGGACGATTGATAACGTGCGAGTCTAGTCGCGCCCTTGTTTTAATACTGATCGCCGCCGCCGTTTATCGATCAATAACACATTGGACGGCGAAAAACTAGTTCATGTTTCTACTCGGATCGTACCATGTCTTGATGTATGTTTTTGTTAACTTTTTTTTCTTCAGAGTACTGAACAGCAGCAGTGAGAGCGCTGGTTACACCATCCACGTACTCGGCTTTAAACCCGTCATCATCATGCACCGCGTGATCATGGCGTTCCACGCATTGGACATAACTTCGTTCATCAGAAATGCCTTGACTTTTCCCGGATACCTCTAGAGCTCCTAGGCTTGTTCTATGGTAGAGAACATGCTCGATATCTATATTCGTTCGCATGTCATGCTGTGAATAGCTAGTTTGCCAAGACACACCTTCATGTACATATATGAGTATTACAAGCCCATCCAGAGACTCTGAAAGACTGAAAGCGTTTCCGACTAACTGCGCTGTTTGGTTCCAAACTGGATAAGCGTTGTAAAATAGCACCGCTCACCAAGCAATGGTTGCTTACGTCCAACCTGTTGCGTCCCTGGATGTGCTTGCATTTTCTCCTCACTGGTCGAGAAGAACGTTGAGCAAGCTTAGATCTATCGTGTACCTGAACAAAGTAGCTGAATTGAACTAAGTAGCCTCGTCAAATGCCTTTGACGCGTTCATAGTCGACAGTTCTACACATGCGAGAGCTGACTGGGTAATTATATATTTGCACCATTCGAAGAAGACGCATACAAATGTATGTACAATTTTGTTTTGTGCTAGTTTAACCAGTGACCGTTAAGGACAATGTGCTTTTAAAAATACCAACTTGAGAGCATTGCTTTGGCTACTTATTCAATGTGTCGTGCCACTGTTATATAATTGCTTAGTGCGTTGAACACTTTTCAGCCATGATTGTTATTAATGATGTTTTTTGGTACTGGTTGTGCTCGCACGCTTTGAGTCTAGTCAAGAAGAACGTTGATGATTGTGCCTAGTGGTAGATTTCCATGCATCTCAGCACTCAGGATGTGTCTTTGTTAGTGTACGGAATTTATTGGCATGTGAGGAAGTCTTCCTGACATAGCGGGGCATGTCTGGCCGCTCCGATGCGGTAAAAGACCTGCGCTATTGTGACATGGTTGCTACTTCTCATGGCGTGCAATTGTGGTAACCTCGTACGGCTGCCTGCCCAGAACTGTATGTCGTGTACCTTCTAAGGCTGTGGTTATCCCGGAGAGGTCATTGACCTCAACACTTTAATAC